ATAATAATAAGTCTCAGTGTGTGATTTATTTGGGAGCTGGGTGGTGGGCCCCCCAAAAGAGCAAAAGCAACCAACAACATTCTCCCTTTATCTCTCAAAACATGAATTATAGTGACAAATATACTGTGAAAATTTATGGACAGTACCCATATGTGCTTTTTAAAAGTCCATGGCTGGATGTTCAAGCATATAATGAATGCTTAAATTATGAAAAAGATATGCTAACTTGGTACATGGGAGCCACACAGTAGCTCATATACAGTCTTAATCTTAGATGCACTAGGATATCAGAGTCCCAGTATTAGGTGTATAGATGAAGCCATCAGTTTATTTATTTATTTATTTTTTTAAAGACAAGGTTTCTCTGTGTAGCCCCAGCTATCCTGGAACTCGCTGTGTAGACTGGGTTGGCCTCACTCATAGAGGTTTGCCTGCCTCTGCCACTTGAGTGCTGGGATAAGATGTGCATCACTGCTTCTTAGCATCTGTCAGATTTCAGACAGAGCATATAGAAGCAGACAAGAAGAAAGGTGAACTGTTTCCAAGTTGTGGTAGGAAGGGAAGAGGGCAGAGGGAAATGGATGCCGGACAACAGGCTGCTATGTTCTTATTCCATGTGATAATCAGATTTCTGTCACTGTGACAATTACTAAGGCAAACAACCTGGAAGGAGGAAAAGCTCATTTGGGCTCCTGATTTCAGATTTGGGTCTAGGATTGCTTGACTCTGCACTTTGGACCTATGGTGGCACAGTGAATGACAGAGTATGTGGTGAAGGAGGTATGTTCAACTCATGGAAATCAGCAAACAGAAAAACCAAAGGGCTGCTGGTTCCCATAACACCTCGAGAATATACCCATAATTACCTCAGTTCTCTCACTAGACCTTATCTCCTAAAGGCTCTGCAACAACCTAGAAAATTATAACCTGGTGTTCAAGTCTTCAGGATACACTTTAGGTACAAACTGGCCTTTTGGGGGACATTGAAGATCCTAACAATAACACTACACTGTGTTAGACGATAAAGAGCTGGAGCTATCTCAATAATCCCTTACTAGGTCTGCATCAACCCAAGAGACAAATGACATACATATCATGAGTTAAAAATAAGGCAGAACAAATTGAGAGGAGAGAGAGAAAGGAAGAAAGAAGCATCAGTGGGAAGACGTAGAGCCAAAGCATAACAGGTAAAGTGGCCAATGAGGAGTGGAATAGAACATAAGACCAGGCTACCAGAGCATCTTTGAGACAGTTTGCATTTCTGCAGTAGACGCTTTTTCCAGTCATCAGTAATCTGAGTTTTTTTCTTTTTCTTTTTCCTTTTCTTTTTCTTGTAGGAGCTGAGAAAGAGCTTAGCCTCATTCTTGGGTTCATGTGATGCAGAACATAGAATTTATACCTGAGAAGGTGACACATAAGGCCTCAGCACAACAGGGCAACAGGAGGGTGCATGCCTACCCAACCTTCTTCATCTTACCAATAATGGAGAGAAAATTCAGTGAGGGCTTTGAACATGCACAGAATTCCAAGTGGAATTTGAGCCATTCAACTATGTAACAAAGACTGTAACACCTTAGGGATCTGTGAGCTGGCATCCAGGCAATGGTGTTGGTCTGGATCCTCTTTCTTTTCCAGCTAAAATTATGAATGCCTTTTCTCCTTTAAGAAATAGATTTAATGCAACAGCTGAGCTCTGTGATAAATTGTCTGAAACTAGTGTGGACCATCTGGCTGTCATGAATGGTCTTAAATAAATCGAACCCAAAGTAAGAAATATAAGGAGACAGTAAGTTCCATCTTACTTGAGCTTAAGAGAATGCGGGGTTTAAAAAAACATGCTCTGACTCTCAGGGGCTGTTCATTGCAATATGGAGCATTGACTCGTCATAGATAATTATGACACCCTGACTAGTTCTAGACTGTCAAAGCAAAAATAGGATTGTGAAAGAATTCACAGATCTTAGAATGCCAGACAGCCTCTAGGTTACCAATCTCTCTGCTTTTATAAATCACAGTCACAAACTCAGTTTTCATTTGGCACTAATGGAAATTTAGGGATTTCAAGACCCTGTCTCTTGAGTTCTTTCTCTTATAGGTCCAAACTTAAAAGCATCCGTGCGGCGTTTGCACTCATTCATTCTTAGGCATTTATGGAATATTTGCTATGTGTCAGACACCATGACACTGCAGGTACCCAGAGAAATTATACATGATTCCTGTCCTTGTGAGCGTGTGCTCTAATGAAAAGATGCCTGGAAAACAATGAATGGAGCAGTCAGCCATGAAGCTTGGGCAAGGCTTCAGTGTGGGCATTGTAAGAAAGGGTACCAACTCAGGCAGGTAGAGAAGACTTAACAAACAGGAGGTAGTTTGCAGTAAATGTGCAAAAGGGTCCAAATCAGGGACTTATTATGCCTTCTAGAAAATAAAATAAGTTTCTTAGAATGAAATGAAGCCTTGAGAGATGGATAGCCTAATTTTATTAGTGGATATTGTGTAGCAGGAATCTTAAAAGTTCTTATTAATAAAATCAAGCCTGAGGCGAGTTATTGGGGTCCATGCTGGTAGATCAGAGAGACAGAACAAGCCACAGCTATCTCATCTCGCCGGATCCTCAGCTGGTCTTGTCTCCTCAGACTGGAAGCCTCTGAGTCCTCATCCGGAATGGGTCTCAGCTGAATTACTGCTCAAAAGCCTGAATGCTTAACCAGCCAAAATCATCCAGTTTCTGGTCCTCAAGCCTTATATATCTTTTTGCTTTCTACCACCACTCTCTGGGATTAAAGGCTGGCTTTCTGGGATTAAAGGTGTGTGTCACCAAGCTTGGCTATTTCCAATGTGACCTTGAACTCACAGAGATCCAGAGGGATTTCTATCTCTGGAATGCTAGGATTAAAGGTGTGAGTGCCACCATTTTCTAGCCTTTGTATCTATTGGCTGTCTGTTCTCTGACCCCAGATAAATTTATTAGAGTACACAATATTTTGGGGAACACAATACCACCACAGATATTGTGTTTTACATCCTTGTCCTGAGCATAAGAGATGTGATCAGAATGTATTGTGTGAGAGAAGAAGAAGAGGAAGAAGAGGAGGAGGAGAAAGAAGAAAAAGAAAGTGAAGAAGAAAGAGAGAATGAAGATATAAAGACATATTCACATATGAATGGAGAAATGTTTTAATTTATATCCACCATAAATAGGTTGAATATTTGTTAGTGAATGGGAGTTAAACTATTGTTATAAATAAAACCCAAATTAATTAGCTTAGCAGTACTCATTGGCTTATTTCCTGATTGAATAACTGTAAGGTTGGCATCTCAGGGGGAAAAGACATCTATTCTCTGCATGGAGATTCAAAGAATCAGATACTTTCTGCTTCTGCTCTTCCATGTTCAAGGATTCCTGGTCAATAGTGTTTTAAGCAAAAGACTGCAGTGGGGAGAGAGGATGAAGCAAGCTCCTGAGGACTCCATGCTCTGTTTTTGTTTGTTTGGGTTTTTTTTTTTTTTTTTTTGTAAATTATAATGCTCAGCCAATAGCTCAGGCTTATTACTAACTAGCTCTTACAACTTAAATTAACCCATTTATATTAACCTACATTCTGTCACATGGCATTACTTCTCTTTCATCTAGCACTTCCTGTTTATTTTTCATGTCTTGCTAGTGATGCCTCTGACTCCATGCTCCTTCTTCCCAGTGTCCTTAGTCTGGTTCACCTGCCCAACCTTATCCTGTCCTGCTATTGGCCAGTTAGATTCTTTTTTTTCTCTTTTTCTTTTTTTCAGATTCTTTATTAAACCAATTATAGCATAATTTACACAGTGTACAGAAGGATTATTCCACAGCAACCTGATTTTTCCCCCTATTTCTCAAACATTTATATTTATAGAATTGTTAGATAAAATAAAAGGCAACCAGTTTAAACTTGATTGGAAGCATGGGAAGGATAGAATCTGGGGACTCATGCATGCTGAGTGCACATGTTCCCATGACCCCAACCCTAAATTTGAATTTTATATTGCAAGACAACTAGGAATTTTTGTAAAATTTAACTTACCATGCTCTGTTCTTTTATTTATTTATTTATTTATTTATTTATTTATTTATTTATTTATTTATTTATTTATTCATTCATTCATTCATTCATTCATTCATTTATTTTGGATTTTTTGAGACAAGAATTTTCTGTGTAGCCTTGGCTGTCCTGGAACTCACTTTGTAGATCAGGCTGGCCTTGAACTCAGAGAGATCTACCTCTGCCTCCCAAGTGTTGGTATTAAAGACATGCACCACCACCAACTGGCTCAATGCTCTGTTCTTAATGGATTATCCAGTATTGTCATGGGATTTCATCACCAATTGATAGTATTAAGAAACATGAGTAGACTTTAAGAAACTTTAAAAGTAGACCCATCATGAGGGCAGAGTCCTCATCAATGGGACTAAGATGTTTATAAAAGGGCTTGATAGAGTGGGATTTGCTCCCTTCTGTCTCTCCTTCATGTGATGTCCTAACATTCAGCCCTTATTGTTTTCCCACCATTTCCCATGTGATGATGGCTTATCCCATTTTGTCCTTCTGTTTTCTGCCATGTAGTAGATACAGCATCTGTTTCCTCTGGAGGATCCAGTAGCATGGTGCCATCTTAGAATCAGACAGCAGCTCCCCCCTCCCCTGGCACAGCCCCACTTGCTTCCCTGCAAGACAACACCCCTGCCAGCACCCTGAACTGAGACATATCTTCTCACCTTCTGGAACTGGTTTGTTTTGTTTTGTTTTTGTCTTTAAGTTATTGAGTCTCAGCAGCAAAGGGAATGGACTAGAATATTTTCCAAAGGTGTTTACACCCCACTTACTCACATTTGGTTGGCTAAAGACAATTTTCACAGTTTTACCAAACTACAAATGTAACTGGATGGGAAAGTAATCCTGAGTGTGTGCCCAGGGAGGCAAAAGTAGGCTTAGGTTGGCAGCAAGCATTCTTTACAGATACAAAAATTAAGACTGCTAAAAATTTATATTAGCTGCATTATTCTAAACGGGTCTAATATTATAAGATTTACCAGTATACTGCATACTTTTTTACTGTGGGCTAAAAATATTAATTGAACGTGCTTAGAATAGTGAAGCAGATTAATGTTTATGTGGGGAAGGCCTGGTGATTGTGCTTGAAGGCTAATTCAACATGTGTCCCCAGCTGGATGTGGTTTCTGCAAAACAAATAGAAAACAGAGAGTTAATACAACAGTAGCCTGCACCAGCACAAGTGCGCGGGAGGGAAATGGATTCTGCTCTTGAATTATTTAATTCAATATACTTTAATAACATTCTGGTGCTAATCTTAAAAGGCACAGGAGTAAAGAGAAAAGGATTAGGATGAATTCATTGGTTCATTTAGGTATAGTCGTCTAGAAAAGAAGAACTTCAATGGAGAAAAATGCTTCCATCAGTCTGGCCAAGTCTGGGGTGCATTTTCTTTCTTTTTTTATTACTAATTTTTAAAATTTATTTTACATACCAACCACAGTTTTCCCTCCCTCCTCTCCTCCTGTTCCCTCTCCCACCTCCTTTTGACGCCTCCCCCCCAACTCCTCAGAAATCATAAGACCTCCCATGGGAGTCAACAAAGCATAGCATGTCACATTGAGGCAGGACCAAGCTCCTCCCCCTACATCATGGCTGAGTGAGGCATCCCACCATAGGGAATAGGTTCCAAAAAGCCAGCTTATGTGCCAGGGACAGATCCTTTTCCCACTGATAGGGGCCCCACAAATAGACCAAGCTACACAACTGTTATCCACATGCAGAGGGCCTAAGACCATGGAGGCTCCCTGGCTGAGTCTAGAGTCTGTGAGCTTCCACGAGGTCAGCTCAACTGTCTCTGTGGGTTTCCCCATTTGATCTTGACCCTCCCCCCCCTTGCGTATATACTTTCTCTTCCTTCTCTTCCACTGAACTCCAGTGCTTGGCTGTGGATCTCTACATCTGCTCCCATCAGTTACTGGATGAAGGTTCTATGAAGGCAATTAGAGTAGTCACCAATCCGATTACAGGAGATGGTCAGTTCAGGCACTCTCGACTACTGCTAAGAGTCTTACCTGGGGTCATCCTTGTGGATGTGGGACTGAGGGCCACTCTGCATGGTGTGACCCCTGGGAACCTTGCCCTGGGTTGTAGGAAAGCAGACTGAACCAGTTATGGAACTAAGCCAGTAAATAGCAGAAAGCAGCACTCCTCCATGGTCTCTGTTTTCAGTTCCTGCCTCTAAGTTCCTATCTGACTCCCTTCCTGATGGATGATGAGCTGCTGTGAGGTGCAACAAACCCTTTCCTCTCCAGGTTGCTTCTGTCCTAGTGTTTGATAGTGTTTGTCACAGTAATAGAAAGCAAAGCAGGACAAGGACTCATAGAGATATAGAAACCATCTCACACCAGGCTAAACACTGAAAAAACTCAAGTTCTTCCTTTGGGAAGAGATGCTATTATTATGGGTTGGATCTAAAATGTGCTCTGCAAGCTCATGGATTTGAACAACTGGCTCTTGGATGGTGGCTCTGTTTAGAAAGATTGTAGAACTTTTAGGGCAGGAGTCCTTGCTGACAGACATAAGCCACTGTGGGCAGGTCTTTAAGGGAGACAGTTCACCCTGCTCTCAGCCACATTTCTGTCTACTTACCTGTCAAGATATGACCAGGATAAGACATAGACTTTTACCTCCACAGACTGACTATTCCACTACCATGGCTTCTGTGACACCATAGACTGGGAACTCTGATACCAGCCCCACCCCCCAATCCCCCCAAAACCCGCCTACCTTTCTTAGGTTGGCTCCGTAGGGTATTTTGTTACAGAGATGAGAGGAGTGACTAACACATTATGAGTGTGGAAAGATGTATGCATGAGTTTGTGTGTGGGGCGCGCGTGTGAAGTAAGGGAGGATATAGGTTTAAAAGGTCTTGGTCTTTAAAATTCAAAGAAACTTAAAGTTTAAATGATTGAAGCTTAGTCATATGGAAAAAGGAGTCAATGTATTCTTTCTGCATCATGGAACCGAGAACATTTTGGCTTAAAATGATGAAGGTCTGAATAATAATTGATGCTATGCAAGAATAGTGGAATAGGCTACATAACAAATTAGTGATTCACATCACTTGAAGTGCTTGAGCAGAAGTTGAATGACCTCATGTCAGGCCTGCCGTAGAGAGAATTTTTTGAATACACTAGATGATACCTAAAAGGTTTTCCAATTCTAGATGAACTATTTCAACTTTCAACATTTCTGACAAGGTATATAGGATTTATTTACATTTCAACACAGTTCTCCAACTTTCAGGATCCAACTACTCTTATAATTATATGCAATAGTAATTGTTAAGTTTTGACACATGCAGACCAGTACAAGACCAACTGGTAAAGAGCTTCTGTCCCACAGGACTGTGCATGTTAAAGACGTCATCGGTCATCTCAGGCATACTGCACTTCTGACCAATGGGCTATCTTCTGATTTGCCACAACTACCTCCTTTCTGAAACAGCTCATAGGACTCAGAAAAATATTTTACAAAGTCTTATTGCTCTGTTAGAAAGAATACAGCTCAAAAGTAGCCAACAGAAGGGATGCTTAGGGAGTGAGGTATGTGGAAAAGCCACAGAATTTTTCATACCCTCTCTGAGCATGCCACCCTCACAGGGGTATGTGAAACCAATGTGTTTACCAGGTTGGATGTCTCAGAATCCAGTGGGTTAGGAGCACTAAGGGAGGCTTTATTATGCAGTTTCTGTTGATTAAATTATTAGTCAGTTTTGATCATTTTTATAGATGTTGGAGATATATGGAACTGAAAATTTTAATCATGAAATTATACTTGATCTATCTGTAACCAGTCTCCAACCTGGAGCTATCTTGAGACCTCTATTCACTAATCATTTCATGAGCACATAAGAAAGACTTACTACTCCAGACATTCTACGTCTTGCAAATTCTTGTGTTTTTAACCAAGAACCGAGACCAATTACAATAAAAGAGATCCTTAACATTGTGATCATTCAGGTAATTTTGCGAGTTTTAATGTTCTAACCAAGAAATGAGGGACAAAGATAAAAATGGGTATTTCATATTAGAACCAGTATCCCACTCGTGTCTGTTTGACTTGGCATTATCATAATGATCCTTCTAGATATTTCAGACCGAACTAAATTCCTGTTGAGACAAATGGCTGAAGACTGCACCATTAACATAGTTGGAAGTTTGGGAGAAGTGGTCAGCATGACTGAAATGCTCTTTCCCATTCATAGCTGCAGTCATTCGAACAGCACAGTTTTCCATGAAATACAGCATTGAAAAATTATGATAATCTAGAAGTCAGAGTCTAACAGACATGAGCAATGCCAGTCTATCACTTCAAGAAAACACTGGATATACTATACTTATTGGTGATGAAAATATGGAAGATTTTAAGCCAAAGTGAGAAGTTGATCCAAGTGACCATGGTAGCTTCCCCAAACAAAAACAATTCTGAAGGTTAGAAATGATATTTTGCCGGGGGGTGGTGGCACACGCCTTTAGTCCCAACACTCGAGGGGCAGAGGCAGGCGGATCTCTGTGAGTTCGAGGCCAGCCTGGGCTACAGAGTGAGTTCCAGGACAGGCTCCAAAGCTACACAGAGAAACCCTGTCTCGAAAAACAAAAACAAAACAAAACAAAACAACAACAACAAAACAAAACAAAAAAAGAAATGATATTTTAAAATGTGAGTTTTTTTGGCATTGATGTCTGGGTGATCTTTATAGTTCTGTTAACAATATTTTCCAAATGATCAGTATGTAATTTTAGAAAATCATGAACAGATAAACACCTACTCAATAAACCTTTGAATTTTTAGGTACTAAAGAACAGAGATACGTTCTCTGGAAAGTCAACCTATAACATTTTTCGTACAAATGCTTGTGCATATATAATTAATTTCAATTGTTAGTATAAATAAATTAACAAATATTATTAAAGGTATGTTAAGTTCAAACATTGTGTCATCTATGAACTCATGGAAGCAATGGTTATCTGCACAAGACCGGTACAAGATTGGAGTAGTCAACATTTTACCTATGACAAGGAGGAATCCCACGAGGTCCCCGAGGGACTCCAGTCAGTCCGTGACTGTGGGAGGAGAGGGAATGGTTTTATTTAGTCCCAGAGCCACTGATAAGTTGCCCTTGTTCCAGGAAATAACCCCTCATTCACACCCGAGGCAAAGAATTCTAATTAAACTCAGTGGGCCATGCAGAGAAAGAGGACATGATATAAGGAGGGGACATTGTTGAGAAGGAAGGTTCTGGCACAGGAAGGAGGGAGATGAGGGAGGGGAATGGGGTGTGGAAACTACATTTTGTTATATAAATGTATAAAATTGTTGAACAACAATGACAAAAAATAACTAAAAAACAAACAAACAAAAAAACAAAACAAAACAAAACAAAAACCTTTGGTTTGTGATACCTGACCTAATAACTCCAATAATCATGGGGACATATGTAATTATATTAGCTTACTTTTTATGAAATGAAGAAATTGGAGAACCAGAAAGGGTGTGAGAGATACTTTGGATCATGGAATGAATTAGAGAATTCATTCACAGAAATTCAATTTAATATCATCCACTCCTGACCCACTTTCTGCTGACTGGTGAGCTGATTTTTGAGTTAGCCTCGTAATGACTAGGAGGGGTGAGTCTTACTGTGAACCCGAGCTAACGTAGTCCTGTTGTCACATAATATTAAAATAATGGAGACTGCAAACCTATCCAGAGTTGGCTATTTAGCTATGGCTCGCTAAGTAAGATGTTAGTATTCCCCATCAGGGAGGGCGGAGAATAATATCAGATTGGAAAGAAAACAGAGAGGATAAAGCAGCTGCTTCTGCAGGAGTCTGTTGTGGACGGTAAAAATCAAGACATAGGCTGAAAAAGTGAGTGTGTGGGATGCAGGGGACTTCAAGGTGCCTGAGTCGAAGCTCAGCAGCTACATGGTGGAGTACTTGTCTCTGACGTGTGAAGCCCTGATCTGTAGAGCTGAGACAAGGTGAAGGGGTCTCCACTTGGGATTGGGAAGTGAGTTCTGTACAACAGGAACCCATTGAGGAGGGTTGTTTCTTTAAATTCTTTTTCTCTCCGACTTGTTCCAACCACACTTCAACCCAGGGTTGTTTTCTAAGGCAAATCAACAGGGAAGCCAAATATATTTAGTCAAATTCCACTGAACAGGGTTTGGAGATAAAGGAGACATTTTCCTCGTGTTTCTGTATAACTAAATCCCAGCTACATTTTACAGTTTAAAGCATACTTTGATAGAAAATGAGACAAGATACTTCTATTCCAAACAAAACGAACCAGATGAAAGAAATATTTTCCTCAAAAAGAATGCAAATACAGGAAAACCATCCTTCAAAAAAAATTTTTTTTTAGTAGAAAAAAACGTGCTCAGGTGTTTATGAAAAGCCATCTTCAGATTTCCAGATCATGTTAATTTATGACTAACCACTAGATGGCACTGGTGTACAGCATTTGAAATTGAAGACAAACTAAAGGTGTTTGTGGTGAGGGCAGAATTTGAGGTTTTACTCTCACACAGCCCACTTCCTCTTCTACCTGGAGTCAAGAGGGTGTAGGACAGAAAGCTTAAATCTCTTCTGTGCCTTTGACTTATAAAGAAAAATGAACATGGCAGAAGTGTTCCTGATTAGATCTGGGGGAAAAGGATGATGTGTTCTTGCTGGATGCATCAGGAGAGATGAGGTTCTGTCACTCTTTAGATATAGACCTGGAATACCAACTTTAAATTGATGGTTGCTGGCATGTGCCACTGTTTTCTACATGCCGGGTTAGTGCATTTGGTGAAGTGTGAGCAGTGTATCGTGAAATCAGCTACTTCATCACACTGGTGATTTCAGACTTAAGAACGCTAATCTTTTTGAATGAACAAAACAAATAGACCTTGAAAGTCTTATCAGATTATCATAGTTAGATTCCTTTATATGAGAGCTGGCTGCCAGGTTGTTCATGACCTCAGTCTTCCCATCTGGACATTTTCAGATGAGGTCAACAGTGTTAGTCTACGGGAACGTAGTCTACAATTATAACATTGGGCCATCGGAGGACATGTCCTCAAACAAAGCAAAATCAGACAAGAAAGCAAGGATGCAAACAACCCTTGATCATTTCAGACATTGCAGAAGAGGTCCTGGGGCATTGGAACTGTGCCTAGCCCCAGAGCTATTATCATCATCTAGAAGCACCCAGCAAAACCAAGACTTCCTTTCCAGGATGGGGGATGCTGGCGATTTGCCAAGACCTGTTTTGCAGCCCCATTAGCTTGTCATCACCGAGCAAATGCTGATCTCACCTCAGTGCTCTTCTAATCTGGTATTTCAGTGGCTTCAGATTTCTCCCTGAAGCTTAACCTGTGACAAGCGCTTGTTCTGAAGCATCTTTAGATGTGACATGAAAAGGACATGGGTCCTAAAGAGGATTAGGGTGAGGTCAGGGAATCCAAAAGACGGTGAAAGGGAAAGAGTAGATTGTGTAATGGGGGTGAAGGAAATAAGAAATAGAGGTGTGGGTGCCATGGAGGCAGGAGATATTCCTGACCTTTGACTCCCAGGGTGGCATTTTTCAGTCAGGCATTATTCATTGCTATGAAGAAGATGTGGATTTTCTGCTAGTTCAGACTGTTTCCATGGCTGTGATACCATGCCATAGATGTAGGGCAGTTTATAATTAGCAGGCATTTATTTCTTTCACATCTAGAGGCTAGGAGGTTCAAGATTAAGATCTGAACAAAATTTGATGGCTTCTTTCCATATATGCAGGGATCCAGGAATCCAATGCATGAAAGGAACCACAAACTTTGTTCAGATATAATGTGAAGAATGTAGAGCCAGGGACCTCTTTGGGGCCTCCTTACAAGGGTGTTGCTATGATTCTTGAAAACCCAGCTTCCATGACTTACATGCTCAAATGCCCACCTCTATTGCTCAGTTGCCCTTACACCATAAATTAAATTTCAGCATAGGACTTTTGGAGAATGAAGCTTTCTGATGACATCATTCTTTTTGGGCTCTCCCAAATCATTACATTTTAAATGTGAAATGTTTTCATTCTATTCTAGGAGTCACAAATCTCAACTCATCCTGATGCTAAGAGATTAGTGTTCAAAGGATCATCTAACGCAGGTATCGGTGAATCCCTAGAGATGCTTGGGCCAATTGCACTTCTCCTGCACACCTGTGAAATCAGACACACGCTTCCAGTATACTTGGAGTAGACAGACAGAGCAGCCATGGTCACTGCCAAAGGAAGAACTAGAGGAGACAGAGTCAGCAGAGTTTAGTAGAGATAGCAGTTGATAGCTTTTCAAGAAAATAAAACTATAATACAATATTTGATTTCTCAATTTATTATGATTTTAGAACTTGAAGCATAAATATTAGCTTTCCCAGAAAGAGGTAATATTTAGGATAGACTGAAATAGTATTTCCAGCAATTTGACACTTTTTAATGAAGGAATTTAGTGAATATGTTTCTCACCTGCCCCTGGGCTTTTTTCTTAAATGTTGTGATGATTGGTAGGGAACGGGGTTCAGTTATGTTCTTCTGTTTTCTCCTAACGAAGATCAAAAGCAGGAGGGAAGAATTATAGTTCTTGGAGTTTAGGCTCAGCTAATATGACTAAAAGAAGGGAAATCAGGCATTAGTTGGGATTGCATGTCATGTTCTATAGACTTTTTCCTTTATCCCCATCCTTCTTACCTCCATAGCAGAAGTGGCAGGGACCTTAGTCCAACGTCTTTATTTTTGAAGAAGAGGAGACCCTAGAGGCTAATTAAACAGTTGAACCAGTCTTACAAAGCATATCTATAAAGAAGCCTCAATCTTTTTATATAGTAAGCTGCATGTACATACTTGTTAGAAGATAAATTGTTTGATGTTATTTAGAATGAAGATTTTCCTCCATTAATGAGGTTCAGCCAGTAGATGGGGAAAAAAAGATCATGCAACCTCTGGACAAACCTAAAAAGATCACATCTGCAGTTTACTGTTTTCTTAAAGCAACACATTTTTATGCCACTGTGTATATCTTTCTTTTCCTGCTCTCCTGCTTTGGTTGGTTCTTTGCCTCTTCTGGTAGAGCCTTCCTACTCTTAGTCAGATTCAAAACACATCTTTTACTAGGACATACACAATTAGTAAATGATAAGCTGGGGTTGTGCTAGGTATGTCTGAGCTCTAATGATGCATAATTTCACTTTTTTTGTGGCTTTCCATGTGATTTCCAGCAACAATATAGCTGTAAGATAAATGGCCACTAATCTGGAGGAAACTCTCTTGAAGCAAGTCTCCAGGTTCCAAGCTAGACCTTTTCCATCTACTTCCATCTACTTCCTCTTGGCCTGTGTGAAGACAGTCAGCGAGTGTTGATCCAATTTATAAGTGGCAGAAAGCATGGCTGAATATCTAATATGCTGGAGGTCAGACTCAAGGCTCAAAGAGGTCTTTAGATGCTGGGGTAATGGCCTAAATCCAATAAGACAAAACTTACAGGGAATAATGTGAGGTCCTGCACTTCAGTCAGAAAATTCAATTGGGGGAGATGTAGCTTAACATTAGATCTGAGGAAAAAAAAATCTCCGGGGTGTCTTAGCTGACTATAAACTTGATGTGAATCCACAGTAACAGGATTGTTGAAAACGAAGTCAATCTTGGTCGAATCCATTTAGTTCAGACTCCAGTGTGAGAGTGGTTATCATTCTGGCTCTTGGTTCTTGTTGGACAACACCTGGAATTTTGTATTCTGTTTTGGATAGTTCAGTTACAGTGACAAAGACACAGGATGATGTGTCCACCACAAGAGAAATGCAGCTGGTACCATTCATTCATTCATTCATTCATTTATTCTGCATTTCTCTTCTGGCTGCCCTTCATAATTAGAGGCCTTATCTTGACACTAGAGATACAAAAGTAAACACAGCAACATCTGAAGGAACTCAGGAAATCAGCGAAGAGTAAATATGTAATATCTTCTTTTGAGTACTCAAGGCCTTGAGTGTTTTAAGATGCTCATATAACCAGTGTTCACTTTATGTGTGCTAAAATAGAGTAACATCTGGGCTGAGACTTCCCACTGATAGAGTTTTGTTTGCAATTTTGACACACAAGCATAAATTGATTGATTTCAAACAGGTCATGGAAGGGAGTCAAAATCTAGCAAAATGTTAACACTGTGAGTCTTAGAATTCTCAAACAATACAATTGGCACACCTCTGACCATGTTCTTTCTATAAGATGATTTTTATTTTTCAATTTCCCTCAGAATGGAGGGTTCAGGAGAGCTCACCAGTATATGAAAAAATAAGTGAGATTAAGAAGATAAAGAAAGTATATCTATACCTGGAGAAGTACCTTGTGCTCTCCTGGCCCAAAAGCTCTGGACCAAGCCTTTGGAAATGGTATTGTCTAATCAGCAACACTTAGAATTGTTATAATAGTTCTAGAAGTCTAAGATAGTCCCAAATTCCAGAATGGCTTGGGTTGGTCCTGATTGGGAATAGATAGACACTATCAAGTGGCAATAAACCATAAATGGGTTCTGGGTAGAGACAGATTGTATCACTAAGAGATGTGCAGAATTTGCTATTTTGTTAATTTTATAGTAATGCACTTGGACTTCTCGAGTGTTGGAAAATTTAAAATCTGTATTAAAGTACAAAGGGCTGTGGGCTGCAGTATCCCCGTTTCCTCCGGTCTCTGCTTCCCTGACTATAACTATCTTTATTCTGAAGCATCCACACATCCTTCTTCAGATGTCGCACCATAATGTCTAGTCTGACTCCTCTGGTCAGAAATCATTTTTCTTTCTTGGCATTTCTATGGATTTTTTCATATTTATTCTCAAACAGTTATTAAATTGTATTACAATTCCCCAGCTCAAACTCATTCATCAGTAAATATTTGTCAAGCACCTGCTCTTGCACAAGGAGAAGTAATTGGACCTGATCTTGAGGGACCTTTCAGGACAACCAGGGATCAGATGAGGCTAGCAGGAGCCTACACAGGACAGTGCTGGGGTGAGTCTGTGGTGCTCAGTGATACAGCTCTGAGAAGTACATTCCCTAGAGACAGAAAACATTTGTGGGGACTGGTGATCAGGGAATGGGGGAGCCAGGCTTTGCTGTTACTTTGCTTCTGCTAGGGGAATCTGTTTTCACAGTAATCCCTTGTACACACACACACACACACACACACACACACACACACACACACGAATATACGTACATATACATTAGAGGCTTAGCTTTTCAGAGCTTATGCCATAAATCATCAAACATTGTATTATAGCAACTATAGAAACACTTAAAACTAAGTCTCAGAGAGTCTAAAAGTATTGTTATCTTGAAAGAAAATAGTGAAAGAAAACCATTGTCAATATGATTGCTCTTAAACATCAAAATTTGAAACATGATAATTTCCCCCAAACACTGATTGCCTCTTTTCTTTTGCTCCGAGGTTGGATTCAACTTTTTGTATTAACTTATTAACTGTGTTTCTCTAAGTCATACAATTTATTCTCTTTCTAAAGCTGAATTACTACATAGGAAAAACACCTCCTAACTTGCAGAGGTATAGATATGATCAAATGCAATGCTTAAGATAAAAATAAATGCTTGATAAATAATTTATGGAATAAGTGTTCTTTTGGGGTGCTTTTTATACCAGGAAAATGCCTCAGTTTCCCATTTTCTTGGTCCATTTTTTTGATTTCTGCTTGCCATTGACTTTTCTTGATGAAGTTTAATTGCTGTTTTCCAAGATCAATTGCTGTTAGCAAAGCTCTTGAAATACCTCATTTTTTTCCATCAATAAATAAGGGATCAAAATTATTTTTATTGAATGCAGAGCATTGTATTGGTCTTTGGGAGGATTTTAGATGACCCGAAGAAGTCAGGGTCCTTGACCTCAAGAAGTTAATAATCTTATAGATGTATTATCTCAGACACAATTTTCATAAACATGAATTCCATCTACCCAGAAGTTCCTTCAGGAAGTCTCAAAAGGATACACTGAGTCAGTGTAAAATATTCCCTAGTTATCCTGATTAAGATTCAGACATATTTTTCATGAATTCTTTTTTATCTATCTATCTATCTATCTATCTATCTATCTATCTATCTATCTATCTATCTATCTATTTTTGGTTTTTCAAGACAGAATTTCTCTGTGTAGCTTTGGAGCCTGTCCTGGAACTCACTGTGTAGACCAGGCTAGCCTCAAACTCACAGAGATCTGCCTTTCCCTACATCCTAAGTAAAGGGGTGTGCCACCACCGCCGAGCCCCCCCCCTTATTTTTTGCCTTTACATACTTGGTGAAAAAAGCAGAGGTTCTGTTTCTGTTTACAGGGATTTATTTACCTGGTGAACCTCTTTAATAACTCCACTAATTTAGTTAACTATGACATCCACTTTGTAGGCTTTGTACTCTCTAAATCTGGCATTCTACAATGTCATAGCATTTTTAATGAAATGGACGTATGTTGGTTTAAACTCGAATGGCCCCCTAACTTTGGCTCTATCAACATTTTTCTGAATAAGTGTGAGGTTGTCATCTATTTTTTTTACTCTGCTTCTGTTTCCATGTCTGAAAACTAGAGAGAAAGAACATCCTCTCTGAGGGCCAGGAAAAGCAGTACCTTATACATGTGACTGGGAAGTGATGTACCGAACTAGCTATATACAACCATATGGAGCTGATCTTTACACTTTACCCTTTGGATTTGTATAGTTTAGTGTCCCCCTCCAAACTTTCTTAAAAATCTGAGCTTTCTGTATTAGTTCTTTCATTGTCACAAAATACAAAGCAAGAGCAACTTAAGAAAGGTGATTCTGACCCACCATTTGAAGGTGTGGCTCATAATGGCGGGGATGTCACGGCTGTGGGAGTGTGAGCAGCTGGCCACAGCACATCACAATAAGGAAGCAGGGTCAGATGTTGCTGCTTTGATTCCTTTCTTTCTTCTTTTTTTTAATCCAGTGTGGGCTCCATACATGAGAAGGTAACACCCACACTTACAGTCAGTCTTCCCACTTCACTTAACCCAATCAAGAACTTCCCTCACAGGTATGTTCAGAGTTTATCTCCTAGGTGTTTCTAGAGCCTGCCAAGTTGGCAATCAAGATTACCATCACACCACCTTTTTCTGGCCCTTCCCGAAAACATGAGGGATTTAGGAAGTAGATACATGAAGACTCTAATAAGGAGAAGATACCCTTTTCTTCTTTTTCTATGTTTAAAAAGTCTTGTGTGTTTCTTTGTTTCTTTAGAACATGTGAAGAAGGTAAATGCATTCTAAAGCCATTGAATGCAAAATTTGTACATCATGGAAATACAAGGCTATTTGAATAAAGGTATGAACTGTAATATAAGAAACAGGGATTGATTGTGCTTGACAGCCGCAGCTCAAAGTAGGGTACAAATCTGAGAGATTACTTGGACAGTATGGACTTAGGTCATTTTTTCTTAGAACCTTCAGGAATAATTTTGTTTTAACAACAACAGGATCCTTCAGAAATGGTGGAATAAGCCTATTCCTAGGATTGGATTTCTCAAGCAAGCAATGTGTCATGGTTTCTCAAGGATGCATTGACCTTGTCTGAACCAGAATGATGATTCAGTTTTGTGCCTGAGGACAGTTTCTAACACCACATTATCTGTCACTTGTGTGTATTTCTGTCTCCTCAGGAATCTTGGTTCTGAAGTTATGCTATACCAGCTGTGAGACAATCAGTGCAGGAAGAGAAGGGAATGGAGTGGGAGAGATCGGTGTTATTACATTTTGTTAACACAAGTGTTTTGGTTAGAAATTTTATTATTGCATTTTCCATGTGTTGGAAGTTTGGAAAATTTTGGCTCCCCATGCTTGAGTTCTTTGTTCTAAAAGAAAGGCAGTCACAAGTCATACAGTGGATGTAATGGTGTTGTTATATACTAGCCATTACTTGGTGAGCCCTTCCAGCTTGCTCAATACCTTTCATACCTAAAAAGACAACACAAGCAACAGCATTTATGAGAATGAATGGCTATAACTGAAAATTACAAGGTAGGAAGATATTTATATTAGTCAAAATATAATCTCTATATTATAAGACAAATTTCCCAGTGGTCTGCTGAAGATTATGATGTTAGCAAAAATGTTAAGAGAAAGCTGAGATCAGGGGCTGTACCCTGAGAAAACTTTCTAATGTGTTACATGACTGAAGACCCAGCAATCAGAGCAGGGGCTGCCTTTTGGATATAATGGCAATCTGTCACAGACTGATGGGTGTACCTCTCTCTGCTACTTTCAGATAAGGGACATAGCTTGATCCCAAATTCTGCTTCTATGGAGAACACTTCACATAGCACTCTCAGTTGAAAGGATGAATATGCAAATCAACCTTCTGAAGACAGGGTGGCTTCCATCCCAGACCCTGAGAGAGTTACCTTTGCTGTCTGAACAACTGCACAAGTCCCAGTGGCTTTCCCCATTACTCAGAGAAAAGAGGAAGCAGCATCCTTCCTTCATCTGTCAACAGAAGGGAGTCCAGAGCTGGGACTCTACTGCCCACCCCCCCATGTTCTTTGTCATGTTACATTTTCTGGGAGATTGGTGAGGAAAATTTCCTTAAGAGTCCTTATTTAGCACTTTGAAATTTGAAACCAAGGTAAGGGGCAGGCTGTGAGCCATGTGCAAATGACCACAGAGCCTTGAGACTATGACCACAGAGGGGCTGGCAAGATGATTTAGCCAGTAAAAGCACTTGCTGCCAAGCCTGATGACCTGAGTTCAATTCCTGGGGCCCACATGATAAAAGGAGAGAAGTGACTTGTGCAAGCTGACCTCTGACCTCCACACATATGTGGTGTCATGCACATGGACACACACACACACACACACACACACACACACACACACACACACACACTTGGTTTTTTTGAGACAGGGTTTCTCTGTGTAACAGTCCTGGCTGTCCTGGAACTCGTTTTGTAAACCAGACTGGCCTCAAACTCACTGAGATCCTCCTACCTCTGCCTCCCAAGTGCTGGGATTAAAGGCATGCGCCACCACTGCCCAGCAAATAAATAAAATTTAAATCATGAAAAATATGGGGACTAGAGGATGGAGTGGTTTGGAAAGTTGGGATGAGAACCAGGAACCAGAGAGATGGTTGTAGAGAACACACACTTGAGTGGTTTTCAGTACAGTGAACTCCACTCGGTGTGACGTCAGGATGATAATGTAAAATTAGCCATCGATGTATACTTACACGATACAAATCAGCAGACCCTGCAATTGAAGCTTAGTTTGTTTTCATGTTTTTAGGGGGTTGTCTTGATTACAGGAATGGTCACAATGAGAGCAACTATGAAAATAAAGCTTTTTCCATTTTGTTGTGAATATCACAAGATTTGAGAAAATACTCTTCTCATATTCC